TCAAAAGAAGTTGTACTTGTTAGAAGTGCAAACTCTTCTTTCTGTAGAGTTACAGCTGTTCTGTCTTTAAATCTCTGGTCAAATTCATAGGTTTTCAGGATGATTTGAAGGTTATCTAGGTAAGTTGTGGAAACGTGACATGGGGATACTACTATGCCATCATCTTGCCCTAGGATTGTAATGATGTCACTTCTCAATGTTCAGATTCTTCCAGGCATGCACAGATGATGGTGGCTTTGTCAGCACAGACTGGGAGAGGGAAGCTTGAAATAAAATCTCATGGATGATGGTACAGGGATGGAGATGCAGCTGAAGCTGCTTGGAGGTCTGATACAAAGGGAATGAAATAGGCTTAGGGGATACCCCAGATGTGAATTTGTTATTTACCTGTCTATAAGAGAGGAGTACAAGAAGGAGAGGAGTCCATACCATGATGGACATCGCCCTGCAAAGACCACATGTCTGGAGCTGGGATACTCCAGGCATCTGTGATCTCCTTCAAAGGATTCAGGCAGGAGAGTCTGTCCCTCTAAATTTGATTCACTTACTAGTGATCCTGGTCCACCCTGATAGACAGCTCAGGTAATATATACTCAGCTTTTAGACAGAGTGGGTTCATGTGTAAGACTCAGAGTCTGTCCCTTGGGAGGAACTAGGGAGCATCACCTGCTGGTATTGTCCACAGATTAATGAGTAGGAGACTGTGCTTAGCTCAGAGGGGGCACAGCTGCTAAGTCATCATAACCATACATAGGTACAAATAACCAAGCCCTAGGGAGTCTGGGTCATTTATACAGAACTCACCACCTGTGCAGACACTCGTGAAAGACCCATAGTGCTCCATACGGCTCACTAGCCAAACTTCATTCTCTCCATGGATATAATGTTAGGGGCACAACCTTGACAGCCTGGTCACTGTCAGTTCCCGAACACACATAGGCCACAACCCCTGCCTTGCTACCAGTAAGTAATATTAGTCAGCTGTTCTTTCAATTGTAAGAATTTCTAAATACAAGTAGGAATACATGTGGAAATATGACCCTATACAGGTGAGTGGGAATGCAGGGAGATAGGAATGCAGAGGGCTGGGAGCAACGGCCTCCTCCCTCCCTCACCAGGGTCCTGTGAGGGGCGACTGGTGACCTGGTCTGAATACAGACAATGTGTCCTGTAGCGGGATGAACAGAGCAACACCACTCCTTGAAAAGTTTTAGGGTTCTTAGTAGCAATAGCAGGATGTGCAGATTCTTAGACATGTAGTAACAAACACTGATGACAGAAAGGCAAATGCTATGGGATGGCCACTGCATGGAAACAGCTGGAAAGTGAGAGTTTTCATGGAAAGATGGTAAGAAAGACACTTTTTATTGAAGAGATTAGAAGCTATTTATGGTAGATTTACTGAGTTGTAAGCAACTTAGAATCAACTGCACATTTTTAAATGTTTTAACTTGATACATTTTGAGAGATGTATAGACACATGAAATCATCCTCACCATCAAATTGATGAGATAGGGCTAAGAACAGCCCACCCTAAAATGGTCTCCTTTGCCCTGGAAATTATTTTGAGATAAAAGTGTTCACTACTCCAGCAACCCAGCAAAAGCTTTTCTATTCCCCTCTACTACCTGTTTGTATCAAGAACAGAGGTATTAGCAGAGATCTCTCTTTACCTAATAAAAATATCTGCATAACAGAGCATCATCTGTTTTCCATACATCTCTTCTCACATACCTGCTGATGGACTTCCTTCCATTGTATCCCAGACCCTTTCCTTGTCCTTTGCTCAGGATATTGGATAAGGTTCCAGTTGTATGACTGTCTTTCGAATTTCAAATGTGTGTGGATTCCTCATCAATATGAAACTAAATTTGTTAATGTCCTGTTAATCTGTTCCTTGTCAGTTTGATTCTTCTTCCAGCCTGAAGAACCATGAAGGGCCAAGGAAATTCTTCCTCCCTGACAGGTGGCATACTGGGCAGGACACTCGAACTTGCTGGACACGGCTTGACTCAGAGGCAAGAGCTGAGATCCTGGGACATCTGACATAATCAGATGAAGTTAAGTCAGCAGAAGTTAAGATTTCTTAAGTTTATAGCCCCCCAGAATTTCTGTCTGTGGATTCTGATGAAGGCAAGTGTGGCAAGAGGCCTTTTTTTCTCTCTTTCTAAATTTAGATTAGCAGGAGAATATATTGTGGAACTAGTTTGTTCCTTGGGCTTAGTAACTCTTGGTAAAAATGAAGTAATTCTTGGTTATTGATCCATTTCCTCCCAGCAATAGCCTTTGTTTTTCTCTGTGTCTTTAGTGTCATGTGTCCTATAAAGGAATTACTATGGGGAAGATGGCCGATAAATGTACTAAAAGTCTTCTGTTGGATTCGCTCCACAGATCAATGAATTCATAGTTCTCATAAAACAGATCAGTTTGGATAAACTGTAATGTGTTTTGCTGGCTGTTGGTAAGGGAAATCTTGGACACCAAAGTGCAAAGTTGCTGGCATAGGACAAGTGCTTAAAAGTTCTTAGAACACTCACTTCAAAAAGACTCACCATAGTTTGGAGGAATCGCCAGTTGGCCTGCATCATCCCCACCTTACTCCTGTCATCTCCTGCACACACATCAATGGCTCCACTATTACTAGTTCATGGTTTTCATTCTTCATTGGACATTCCACATGCCCACAAATTCATCAATTTTCCTTTTTTGAAATGTTCACCAAAATCATCTTATTTTGGATCAGTCAGATATTTCCCACGGGGTTTCTGTGTAATACTTCTTAAGTATAATCAACGCAATAGAATCATTTTAGTGTATAAATGTCCCTGCCATGTAAGAGTCCTAATAATGCCTAGTATTGTCATTTTAGAAGGATTCCTGAAAAACCATTCATGCCATGTAGAGATGAAAAAGCTGATAATGTCCTATTAGCAATTGGTAGATATTTTCTAAGTGACAGCTACATGTCAGTGCCGCATAGACTCAGTCATGGGACATAGATGCCTGGAGTTGTCACCTAGATGCTGGCTGTTGTTCCTGGCAGTGAGGACCTCATGAAAGCAGAGGCAGCACAAGCAGAGGGGTTCACCCTGCTTCCCCAGTGATGTGGAGCAGAGTGTGAGCAGTGCCTCTGTCAGATCATATCTTACAGGATTGATCAGTTTTATTACTAGAATGATGGCCACAATTTATAAAATATATTGAATTCCTCAATGTATCTTTGGATCTTGAGAATCAGCTGGGATTCATATTTGAGACTGAGTAGAATCTCGGAAGATATTGGGAAGAGCTCCCTGGTTTTGGTGCTAATGCAAGATCATTTTGCTACCATCTTTGGGAAATCTGTGTACCTCACACTCAAGTTTGCTATAAACCTGAAGCATCTCTTAAACATTAAGTATATTCAAAAAAGGGAAAAATAAGTGCTCTGTGGAACCATTTCATAAAGAAAAACACAATCAAGATGGAGAATGTACTATTCTGTCATATACAAGAAAAGAAAAAATGAGAAATAAGAAACATTTCCACATCATAAATAATGTGAAAATAAAGAAGGAAGATTATAGAAAACCACTAATTCCAAAGGACATAATGAAAGCATGTTCTCAAATGTCAGAATAGAATAACCACTTACTATCTTTGGAATGAAAATGGATAATGCACAAATGTATGAAATAAGAAATGGCATGTGGAAGAAAATGAAATATGAAAAAAAGTCACTGTTAACCTCCAGTGATAAAAGGTAAAAAGCATACTTTCTTAGGAAGAAAAAAAGTGTTTTTATTAGAAAGAGCTGACTAAACAGACTAATGACTTAGAAGAAAATGGAAAATGTTATATTGGAACTATCCCACAAAAAGGCATACATTTTTTCAGGAAACACTCTCAAGCTTTCAGATTCAGATGTCAAATGATTCTATGTTTTTGCTTTTTTAAAAAAAGATTTCATTTATTTATTCATGAAGAGAGAGAGAGAGAGAGAGAGAGGCAGAGACAGGCAAAGGGAGAATCAGGTTCCATGCAGGGAGCCTGATGTGGGACGTGATCCCAGGACTCCAGAATCATGCCCATGTCAAAGGCAGGCACTAAACCGCTGAGCCACCCAGGGATCTCTGTTTTGGCTTTTAATTCAATTATATATTACAAAATGCTGAAAGAACTGGAAATTTTAAATTCTTATAGAAAGCAAATATAATGGGTACCTATACCAGAAAAATAAAATACAGACAATATGCAAAAAAAGGTTGCAGATAAATGAATAAGTAAATAAACACATAATTTTTAAAAGAAAACAAAAATTGCAGACCAATACTATGAAATATTGAGGTAAATATTCTAAATAAGTTACCAACAAGAAATTACAGTACCTGATTAATATATTGATACTCTGTGTCCATATGTGATTTATTCAAGGAATACAAGTTGGGTTTTACAATGATAAACCTTTACTATAAGGCATCACGTTAATAGTTTGATAGCTAAAATTATACTATCTCAATAGATTTGAGAGATTCTTTGACCACAACTTGTTTTTTATTTTTATTTTTATTATTTTTAAAGATTTTATTTATTTATTCACGAGAGACAGAGCGAGAGAGAGGCAGAGACACAGGCAGAGGGAGAAGCAGGCTCCATGCAGGGAGCCCGACATGGTACTCAATCCCGGCTCTCCAGGATCACATCCCGGGCTGCAGGCGGTGCTAAACCGCTGTGCCACCAGGGCTGCCCACCACTTGTTTTTTAAATTCTCATAAAAAACACGTAAACTAGAAGAAGATAGAGACATGTATACCATGGTAACACACTCTCTGCCACATATATAACTCAGCTCCACAGCCAGCGCTTCAGCTAATGGGGTGAACCAGGAGAACGTTCCCACAAGATCATGAACAGGCCAAAGTGACCTTTAACTCCATTAATACTCAACAACATTCTTCACCTGCATTTCGAAAAGAAAAAAAAAAGGTTAGCTCTCAGCATTGATTGGAACAAACTGGTAGTCAAGCCACCTGAATGTTCGAATATGCCTGTGGAACAGAACTGACAGAGAACAATCTCCCCAGTGAGCATAAAAACAGAAAATTCCTATTAGGACTAATGAGAAGATGGCACATTGTGGAAAATTCTACAGGCCAGTAAATGAGCAAGGATGGAGACCCTGGATGCCTCAGATGTCAGGTGGGAGACAGCACACTGGACCTGCCAGTCCCAGTCCATGGACATCAGTGCAAAGATACTATGTGTCCCAAACCGATGCAAGATGTCCTTTCTGTCCTCTGCAGCCCTTTGTCAAGGAAGAGGCAACTGTGAGTAACTGGGGGATGGAAAGGAAGGAGGATCCCTCGCTCCCAAGTGGTGCCCCTGGATGGAACTGTGCCCATGGTGGCAGCAGCAGAGAAGCAAACACAAGCTACAGGTTGAGCCTGAGCAGATTCTGGGGCCTCCCTCCCACCAGATGAGAAAGGGATTCTGGTCTCAGATCCCTGGAGCTCTGTGTGAGCCCTTAGATACTGTCACAGGAGGAGCTGTGAAGGGCAGCCTCACCCTCTGGTCTCAGCCCAGTGATGGTCAGAGAGCTGGAGTTGCCAGACATGGAGCCAGAGAATTGATTGGGGTCCACAAACAGACTAACCATTATAATAGAGGAGAATTTCAGGACCCATTTGTGAGAGCATTGGAACCAGGGCACAGTGTACACTAATGGTTTCCATGTTTCAGAAAGCCTGCATGCCTGTTTCTGGCTTGACCTACATGAAGTCACTCCCTGGGGCAGCTTGCCCCTGGCACCAAGGCATGTCTGCTCAGTTTGGTGAAATTGTATCATGTGTTCATGCCAAGAACAGGCTTTGGGAGCTGAATTTAAGAGAATGGGGTCAGGTTTTGTAGACAAACTTCCCTGGAGTGTATCTCAGACTCCAACTTATACCAAATAAACAAAAGAACCAGCTGCAGGCCAAGGAGTAGGGGCTGCAGAGGAAACTCCATTGTTGTGGAGGCAACAGGTTTGTGTCTCACTTCCCCATTGGACTGGAGCACTGTGTGAGTATTGAGGCTGTCATCGTAGGACTGGCAATAATAATCAGCCTCGTCCTCAGCATGGAGCCCAGTGATGGTCAGAGTGGCTGAGCTGCCTGACTTGGAGCCAGAGAATCGTTCCGGGACCCCAGATTCTCTGTTATCATCATCATAGATGAGGAGACTGGGTGCCTTTCCTGGGAGCTGTTGGTACCAGTGCACATAATTATCACCACCGATGTTGTCTGTGCTTCCAGTGCAGGAGATGGTGACCCTTTGGCCCAGGGATCCAGACACTGAGGCTGGCTGAGTCAGCACAGACTGGGCCCAGGACCCTGCAAGGGGGAGAGAAACAGAGAGGGTGATGCTGGGGTCTGGAGAAAAGAGGAGGAAGCATGTCCTCACATGTACTCCCAAGACCCCTTCCCCTGTCCCCACATCCAGTCACCTGTGCAGTGAGCGAGGAGGGTGAGGAGGAGAGGGAACCTGGCCATGGTAGAGGTCATCAATGATCCTGCCTCTGTGGTCCCACAGCTGAACGGAGCCTTCTCTCCTGTCTTCCTTCCCCTCTTCATCCTCTGAGAGAGGGAGGGCCCATCCATGCAAATGAGACCCCAGCTCTCTGACCCCTCCCTGGTCCTGGGTCAGGTCCCTCTGCCTCAGGATGTCAGAGGGTGAGCAGTGGAGGGGTTATGTGGGGCCAGGGCTTGGGAAAGTCCCAGCTTTGAGCTCTGAGCCCAGGCCACAGGCAGTTCCAGGCACCAGGTGCCAGGGATCACTGCAGCTTGAGTTCAGGAAGCAAATTTATATTTGTCGTAGAATCATCCTGTCCACCTATCTTTCCGTGAAAATCAGGTCTAGATGATTTCCTCCATGATGCAGTGGAGGATGAAATACGAGGCCTGTGTGATTCAGAGCTGAAGGCTCATGTGGCTCCTGGGGACCCAGGTGCAGGATAGTCAACTATCGTGAGGACCCTGCTTACTCTAGTGTGCAGGAGTCAGCTATAGATTTTCCTGATATTCCCGACCAAGACCCTGACTCTTGAGAGCACCCCACCTGCGCCCCCTGCTAGCCTCAGACTCCATGCTAGCCTCAGGCTCCATGCCCCCCAGCCTGTGTCACTCCCCAGCCTTCTGAGAAGGGCATCTGACCTTTGCAGTTGGACTTTTCTTATGTCACCACCTAGGGTAGCACAACGAGCAGGTCAGTTCTGTAGATATTAGGGTTGAGCCACTCATTTTTCCAGGTCACCAATGCCCTCAGACAACTGAGACCTTTATTTTATGAGATATTTCAGGATTTCCTGATTATCTAACTTTACTTCTACCTTGTCCCTGGTTTCATTAATGGGACATAAGACACTTTAACCCAGCTCAAGGTTTAATGTCTCCCAGAAAAGCCATTGGTTTAACTCTGGTAATTAATCTACATAGGTTACCATATAGGTTGAATTATTTGATTATATTTATTATTGTCAAGGGCTTCTGTTAGGTTGACCAGCTCCTGTGATACGTATCTTGGCTTCTTATCTCTGTCCTTGACAAGAGAATACCATACTGTCAGGACAACATGTCTTGTCCTTGATCACTTCTCTGGACTTTCATTTACCACTGAATAATTATTTCTGCATTATGACATTTAAATTTTTTTATTGGAGTTCAATTTGTCAACTTATATCACCTAATGCTCATCCTGCCAAGTGCCTCCCTCAGTGCCCATCACCCAATCACCCACCTCCCTTTCCACTACCCATTGTTTGTTTACCAGAGTTAGGTGTCTCTCATGTTTTGTCATCCTCTCTGATATTTTCACTCATTTTCTCTCTTCTCCCATTCATTCCCTTTCACTATTTTTTTATATTCCCCAAATGAATGAGACATTTAATGTTTGTCCATCTACAATTGACTTATTTCACTCAGCATAATACCCTCCAGTTCCATCCACGTTGAAGCAAATGGTGGGTATTTGTCGTTTCTAATGGCTGAGGAATATTCCATTGTATACATAAACCACATCTTCTTTATCCATTCATCTTTCGATGGACACCGAGGCTCCTTCCACAGTTTGGCTATTGTGGACATTGCTGCTAGAAACATCGGGGTGCAGGTGTCCTGCTGTTTCACTGCATCTGTATCTTTGGGGTAAATCCTCAGCAGTGCTATTGCTGGGTTGTAGGGCAGTTCTACTTTTAACTCTTTGAAGTACCTCCACGCAGTTTTCTGGAGTGACTGTACCAGTTCATATTCCCACCAACAGTGCAAGAGAGTTCCTCTTTCTCCACATCCTCTCCAACATTTGTGGTTTCCTGTCTTGTTAATTTTCCCCATTCTCACTGGTGTGAGGTGGTATCTCATTGTGGTTTTGAATTGTATTTCCCTGATGGCAAGTCATGAGGACCATTTTCTCATGTGCGTGTTGGCCATGTCTATGTCTTCCTCTGTGAAATTTCTGTTCATGTCTTTTGCCCATTTCATGATTGGAATGTTTGTTTCTTTCCTGTTCAGTTTAATAAGTTCTTTATAGATCTTATATCTTGGATACTAGCCCTTTATCTGATAGGTTATTTGAAAATATCTTTTCCCATTCTGTAGGTTGTCTTTTAGTTTTGTTGACTGTTTCTTTTGCTAAACAGAAGCTTTTGATCTTGATGAAGTCCCAATAATTCATTTTTGCTTTTGTTTCTCTCACCTTCATGGACGTATCTTGCAAGGTGCTGTGCCCAAGTTCAAAAATGGTGTTGCCTGTGTTCTCGTCTAGGAGGGTTTTTTTTAATTTAATTTTATTTATGATAGTCACAGAGAGAGAGATAGAGATAGAGAGAGAGACAGAGACACAGGCAGAGGGAGAAGCAGGCTCCATGCACTGGGAGCCCGACGTGGGATTTGATCCCCGGTCTCCAGGATCGCGCCCTGGGCCAAAGGCAGGCGCCAAACTGCTGCGCCACCCAGGGATCCCTCGTCTAGGAGTTTGATGGAATCTTGTCTCACATTTAGATCTTTCATCCATTTTGAGTTTCTCTTTGTGTATGGTGTAAGAGAATGGTCCAGTTTCATTCTTCCGCATGTGGATGTCCAATTTTCCCAGCACCATTTATTGAAGAGACTGTCTTTTTTCCAGTGGATAGTCTTTCCTGCTTTGTCGAATATTAGTTGACCATAAAGTTGAGGGTCCACTTCTGGATTCTCTATTCTGTTCCATTGATCTGTGGGTCTATTTTTGTGCCAGTACCACACTGTCTTGATGATCACAGCTTTGTAGTACAACCTGAAATCTGGCATTGTGATGCCCCTGGCCCTGGTTTTCTTTTTTAATATTCCCCTGGCTATTCAGGGTTTTATCTAATTCCACACAAATCTTAAGATTATTTGTTCCAACTCTCTGAAGAAAGTCCATGGTATTTTGATAAGGATTGCATTAAATGTGTAAATTTCCCTGAGTAACATTGACATTTTTCACAATATTAATTCTCCCAATTTTTTATTGGTTCTCTGTTATATTTAGTTTAGTTTAGGTATATAAATCATCCCAGTATCAGCCCTCATATTAAATAACATTTATATAAATTGTCTATATAATTAATATTTCATCCACTGACTGACAGTTCACTCCTACAGAGGAGTGCCACTTCCTTCCTGAATGAAAAACTCTAAATGACGTGCTGTAATAATTTTAAATACACACAAACACACATTATTATATAGTTATATCTTGCTTTTTGTGTTCCATTGCACCATGTCCAGGTTTACATATAAAATATAATTGGTGATCATTCTTTCCCAGTACATGTGGTGTCTCTCATTTTGATTCATCTTTATTCCATAGGATAATATCCTATATTTGGCAACTTTTAAAAAAATATTTATTTATTTATTTGAGAGAGAGAGAGCATGAGTGGCTGGGACAGAGGAAAGGGAGAGAGAATCGTAAGAAGACTCTATAGTGAGTGCAGAGCCCAACATGGCACTTGATCTCAAGACCCTGCGATCATGACCTGAGTCAAAAACCAAGAGTCAGACTTCAACAGACTGCACCAACCAGGTGCCCCAATTTGGTCTCTCTTCTATTCAGAAATATTCATCTGGATTTTAATTATTTTTTATTGTCAAGAACTCTGAACTTTACATACCTGTATATTCATTCCTAAATGTGTGAGGTAGAAATATTTCTTTAATAATTGAATTCTGAAAATATAATACTGAGACAAACTATGTATGTTTTTAATATTTTGATAAAAATTAGAATTTATGTTCCAAAATTTTTCACCAATTTGTCATTTCACCCTCAATGTATAAGACATCCTATTTAACCACACATGATAGCAGATAATATATTGATATTAATATTTACCTTTTTTGTATTTTTTATTGGAGTTCCGTTTGCCAACATATAGTGTAAACCCAGTGCTCATATTGTCTAGTGCCCCCCTCAGTGCCCATCACCCAGTAACCCCATCACCACACCCACCTCCCTTTCCACTACCCCTTTTTTGTTTCCCAGAGTTAGGTGTCTCTCATGTTCTGTCACCCTCACTGATATTCCCACTCATTTTCTCTCCTTTCCCCTATAATCCCTTTCACTTTTTTAATATTCCCTGTATGAGTGAAACCATATAGTGTTTATACTTCTCCAACTGACTTACTTCACCTACCATAATACCCACGTTGAAGCAAATGGTGGGGATTTGTTGTTTCTGATGGCTAATATTCCATTGTATACATAGACTACATCTTCTTTTTTAATTTTTATTTATTGGAGTTCAATTTGCCAACATATAGCATAACACCCAGTGCTCATCCCACCAAGTGCCCCCCTCAGTGCCCATCACCCAGTCACCCCACCCGCCTACCTCCCCTTCCAATATCCCTTGTTCATTTCCCAGAGTTAGGTGTTTCTCATGTGTTGTCACCCTCACTGATATTTTCACTCATTTTCTCTCCTTTCTCTTTATTCCCTTTCACTAATTTTTGTATTTCCCAAATGAATGAGACCATACAATGTTTGTCCTTTTCTGATTAACTTATTTCAGTCAGCATAATACCCTCCAGGTCCCTCCACGTCAAAGCAAATAGTGGGCATTTGTCATTTCTAATGACTGAGTAATATTCCATTGTATACATAGACCACAGCTTCTTTATCCATTCATCTTTTGATGGACACCGAGGCTCCTTCCACAGTTTGGCTATTGTGGACATTGCTGCTATAAACATCGGGGTGAAGGTGTCCTGCGGTTTCACTGCATCTGTATCTTTGGGGTAAATCCCCAGCAGCGCAATTGCTGGTTCATCGGATAGTTCTTTTTTTTTTAATTTTTTATTTAATTATGATAGTCACAGAGAGAGAGGCAGAGACACAGGCAGAGGGAGAAGCAGGCTCCATGCACCAGGAGCCCGATGTGGGATTCGATCCCGGGTCTCCAGGATCGCGCCCCGGGCCAAAGGCAGGCGCCAAACCGCTGCGCCACCTAGGGATCCCGGATAGTTCTATTTTTAACTCTTGAGAAATCTCCATACAGTTTTCCAGAGA